GGGCACACGCACACTGGCACACTGGCACACTGGCACACTCGGACACACAAGGAGCCGCTTCTCCCGCCGCTCTCCCCCCGCTCCGCAGCCGCTTCTCCCGCGGTGGGTGCCGTCCGTGCAGCGCTCGCTGTGAGGGCTCAGAGCCCAGCGGGAGCTCCGTGCTCCGCCGGATGGAAGTGTGCGCTCGAACAGCTGTGAAAAAGCCTGTTCCGCAGTTAGGCTCTCTGTGCTCCGGGGCTGACAGTCTGCTCACCGCCGAAAGCATCCGCACTGCTTTCTGAGGTCCCCGAAATGATAAGGTCAAAGACTCAATCCTATGGGCACAAAAGATACCAGCTCTCTCCTTGTCTCACCCTTTGTGTCTCACAGCGAAGTAGCAGCCAGCATGTTTCCTCTCTAAAGCATGAACAGATGAAGCAGAATCACAGAATCATGAGGGCTGGAGGAGATCTCTGGAGATCGTGCAGTCCAGCCCTCCTGCCAAGGCAGGGTCAGTATAGAGCCTGTGAGGCAGGAGCATGTCCAGCTGGGTTTTGAATGTCTCCACAGGGGGAAAGTCCACAGTCTCCCTGGGCAGCCCGTTTCAGTGGTCTGCCACCCTCCCTGTAAAGAAGTTCTTCCTCAGGTTGAGGTAGAATTTCTTGCATTTTAGTGTACAGCCATTGCTCCTCATCCTGCCTCTGGGGACCACCGAAAAGAGCCTGGCACCATCCTCATGACGCCTGCCTTTGAGATATTTATACATATTGATGTGGTCAAAAGATAAAGTTCCTGTATCCACTGCTGGCAGAAACAGGATCAAACAAATGTGGGCAGTGAGCAGCTTCCCTCTGCAGCAACACAGCTTTCCTAGGGGACGAGCCAAAAGGTATCCCCACCTCAATCTGAGAGATTGTGTTTGTTCTGTGACTGACGATCAAAAGAATGTGGAGACAAAATAACCTCTCAGTTATGGGAACAGCATGCAAACCATCTAGACACAATTTTGAAAAATACATTAGAAGAAAATGTGTTTACTGTCTTGAGCAGTCCAAACGAAGAAAGCGTGCAGGCTGTACCACAGTAAAAGGTGGGCACATTCAAAGAGAATTAGTGTCAGCACTCATTACATCCACCGCCGTCAATGTCCTCCTGCAGGCTAAACACTATCATCAAGACAAGCTGTGGACACTCTGTACCTCTGTAAACAGCTGAAGCCATTGCTCCCCAGGAATTCTGAAACACAGATCTCAGAAAAACTTAATTTGGAAGGGACCAGTGGAGGTCAGGTCTGAGGCATCTCTCCTGTCCCACCCCCTGCTCAGAGCAGGGACAGCACCAACGGTGCAAGGATTTTCCTCAGGGTCTCACTCAGTCAAGTCTGAGTATCCCCAAGGAAGAAGATTATACAGACTCTCTGGGCACCCTGTGGCTCTGTTTCACCCTCAACTGTAAAGATTTTTCCTATTTATTTAGCAATTGCCTTCACTACAACTTGTGCCCACAGTCCCTGTGGGGTGTTCTGCCATCCATTTGTTTCCCCTTACCTATCCAGGCATTACAACAGCATTAGTAACTGCAGCAAAACCAGTTTCAAGTGGAGTTAAGAAGAGTTTGCAAGTCTCCTCAACTCCAGCACTCGGTTGAGTACTCCTACTTTAGGTCAGAACAAAGCAGTTACTCTATACCCTCTGCCAGCTGCAGGTATGGCCAATGTAAACTTGGATTAAAATTAATATTGAAATCACAAGAATCCTAGTGCAGAAAGAGCTGCTACAGAGCAACAGAAGGCAAGGTAAAATCTGAGGTAAAGCAAAATTCTGTATTTTCCTAAAGTCTATCACTTAAACAGGGGTGGTTAATTTCAACATTAATTAAAATGACTGTCTCAGAACAAATTATTCCAAACATCTTTCAAAATTGATTAAAAATGCTGCCGTCATTCAGACTTAGCAAGTCAGGTTTGCAAAGATGAACCAGCTGGGGTCCACTATAAAGCTGTAAGATCTGCAGTATTTTTATGGCATCTATAAAGCAGAAAGAGAAATGTAATTTACCTGGTCTTCAGTAGTGAGATGTGGTGTGGAAAGTCTTGGCTGTGAGCAATTTGTCAAATCTTTGACCAACCTGTTACTGCTGGGAAGCAAGTATGTGGCAGGTCTTGGCTACAACAGTATGTATATCCTGTATATCCTATACACTGAGCAGGGTATTTTTTTTATACTATGGATTTTAAACAGTTTTCCTTAACTGAAAACATTAAGAGCTGATACTGCCAAGGCAGAAGTCATTTCATGTGTGGTGAAACCTTGTGAGTTTCAGATCTAGAGATTCCTAGGATCTCAGAGTGAGATGTAGGAATGGTTTTTAGCCTGAGAGCGAGGTAGTCTCACACCCAGTGCATGTGGTCACATATTTCACTCTGACAAAGAATTACTCAACCACCAAAGTGTGTCTCTGAATGGGAGATGCACAGATTCTCTTTGCTCCTTGTGTCAGGCCTTTTCTGAGTTCTTCCAGATCTTTAGTTCCCTCACTTCCCTGGACTTTTACCCTTTCAAGAGGAGGATGCTCTTACAGTCCTCATTGGGTTCTTACAGAGCCCAGGGAGCAGTGCTGTGCAGCTTCCTCATCTCCCTCACATTTCCAAGTATCAATTGTCAGGGTTAGAGACCAAATCCACGCTTATTAAAATGGTTCCACCTCCTTGGGAACTGTTTGTATTTCCAGAACTGTCATTAAAGCCCTTTTATCTTCTTAATAGAGATTCTTGCATCAGTCATTCCAACAAAGGTGAGCCATCTGTATTGCTCCTAGTTTTAACTGGTTGTGGGAAAAAAGAGGATTCAAAGAGTAGATACAAAGCTAAGAGCCTAAGAGCCATCACATTTCCCACAACACCATAAGGAGAAGCAGAGAGAAAAGTCTGGTCAGACCTCTTGCATTGTTATCAAGATATTTTCATCTTGCCCTCCTAGCTGAGGCTGGATCTGCAGATCTCATAGGAAAAGATAAAAATAAAGAGCCATGTTCCAGCAGTGCATACCTAAGCATTGTGTATGATATAACTCAGTAATTATCTTAGTGAGTTTCTGAAAATTAAGAAGCAACAAAATTAAGAAGTTGCTGAAACAAATAATTTAAAAACCTCTCTGCTTGAATTCTCCATCTGTTCTGAGAGCTGAGCAGTATTGTAGTGTAATTTTAATATGTGATTACTTAATTTCAGTTAACTATGTATTATTTTGCTAGCTGGTATTTTTAATGATTAATAAGTAGGCTGAGTAAATGTTAAGTATTATTAAACGTGCTTTACATAGCAAGAGTTGGAACCAACAAAAATTCCTCTTCAAAATTTATCTTTCCAATAACATGCTGAAAATATTGAAGAGTCATTTTTCTTCTGGCAACATAAAGAATCCTTAAAATAAAGGCGGGAGGAGGGGAAGAGAAGGGGGATAACACAGATGGTGAGCTAACCAATGCTGGCATTTCAGAGACGTCTATGCAGCTGGTGTGAAAAGATGTTTTAAGCCCTTAGCAATCCATTTAGGCACTTCTCCAAGTTTATCATTTTCCTGACTTGGTGAACTCAGCTGAGTTACCTGGTGACACTAATTTCTAGGTTTTTACTAAATCTCTGCTTGATCCTTCATATTTGGACAGGTGTCCACCCAAAAGTGTGCCACATTGCAAAATCTACCAGTGACAAACCTCAGAGGGGTTCAGCCATTTAGAATTCACCATTTAGAATTTCAACCTCATTCTCAGCCGTTCCCGTTTCTCCACCACATTTCGTGTTTCCTACCTGGACCTTGACTGTGCTTCTTAATGGAGCACTCATGGTGCCACCACTCCTTCTTGGTAAGTTTCCAGCTGCTTGGCTGCTGTGCTCCTGGAAATGGAAAACGCATTCCAGAAAACAGCCTGCATGTCTGTAAAATCTGTTTAACTTGCACAGCGAGGCTACATGGGTCTGCATAAATGAAAGAAAACAACTATCACACTTTTTCTAGCACATGCTTGGGTCGAGAATCTTGGTTTACTCTGTGACATTCACAAGGCTGCATTTCTCCAGTGGATTTTATAGGTGCTTTGGAAAGTCATACAGCATCTTACATGGTCTCCGAATCACTAGCAGAAAGTACAGGGACAAGCTTTACATAAGTAGGTGAAAATCTGCTTTCAAAAGTGTAACAAATGCCAGTCATCAGGAATGGATTCAGGCTGAACCTTAGCTTGAAAGTTTGGTTTTGAGGTAGAATTCCTACCCAACTTCCTCTGACTCTGCCCCACTCACAGTTTCAGCAGCTGCTGGTTCTGCCCTTGGCTGACAGTGGCAAGGTTCCAGGCTCTGATTCCTCCTCCTCCTCCCACTCCCACTGCAGACAGGATGAGTTTTGGATGCAGCTTTGACCTCTTAAGCTTAGTCAGACAGAGACGCCTTTTCTGAGTGTTCACCACCCAGAGATGTTTATTTATTTTTTTTTTTCTGGTAGTGCTTCATATAATCATTTAGAAAGGGCACAGATTCTGTGAGAGCTATCAACACATGTGCTTAGCAATCTCCACATCTGCCAGTCCACTGCCAGCAGACAGCCAGGCTAAGGCAGAGGAGCTGGCTTGTCTTCCAAAGGAGTAACTTAGGCCAGCAACTTTGGATGTGGGAAGAGCCACACATGGGTTTGTATGGTCATTGCTTACCCTGATTGGAAAAGTTAGCCTCTGGTCCACTCTATTTATTTCTAGGGATTAGTGATGAATCAACTGAAGCTAAATACACACATTTTGCAACCTTTCCTTCCTTGCCCTGCTTGTTCTGTTGATGGAAAGAAAGCAGAAACAACAAAGGTCATTCATCACTAGATGTGTCATCAAGTGCAGTGGAACAAGGTCTTTTATTCTTCTTATTCTTTTAAACTTTTTCAAAACCTTTTTGCTCAAGCTTTTAAAAGGCTTAAAATTGGCCTTTAAATTGCGCATCTAAGAGAGGGAGTCCAGGGTTCACCAAACAAATGTTGTTTTGCAGCTTTGTAAAAATAAACTGCAAATTTATTTCACTAAAATAACTAAAAACACTGGTTTCTGTTGTTTCATGTGATCCTATAAGTTGATGAACAGTGGCTACACAGGAGGGTGTAGATAGATTTTTTTCATTAAAGTTAATAGCGAATTTGAGAACAATTTTTCCAGATACTAGAATGCAAGCTAAAAATAAATTTCATTGTGGAAAAAGCACTATGCCCATCTTCCTTTCTGAAACTGCTTTCTTAGAAATTACAAAAAGACAGCCCCATCATCACCCATGGGTAATTTCCCTGCCTGCAGCACAGAAGTGGATCTGTGGGCCAGTCCCTATAAAGGGCTTAGGGAACAACAATAAGGTACATGCCTCCCCAAAATGAGAAAAAACATATTTTTAGTCCAGGAATCCCAATGCTGAGGATCTATTGAGCAAGTAGAACTCAGAATAGGATCCAATTGGAAAATAGAATAAGCTCAACTGTGGGTCTGGCCAGAGGGGTGGGCTGAGACAGCAGTTCTGCACTTCTACCCTAGAATGCTTTCCCAAAAATTAGTACTCATGTCTTTGTTTGTAGAGACCCAAGCAGGGCTTATTCACCCATTTTTATAAAATCTAGGAGAGAGCATTTTCCCAGACACAGCCCTTTAGATACTCATGTAATGATTGAACAAGTCCCTAAGGAAATGGTAGGTGAAGTCTGATTCTCTGCCCCACATCTCCCACAGGAATGAATTATGCCCCACCTAAAATTTGGGCCAGCAACCATACTAAGCAACCACTGCATGTCATACAGAAACATCCCATTTGAGACAGGACCAAATCTCCAGCTTCACTCACCTTGTGAGGATGTAGTCAGGCTTTTTTTTCCTCTTCTTGCTCTGGTACCTCTCCACACAGCCTCAGTACAAAATGAACTGTACTCAAGCTATCCCCTGTAGCTGGTTTTCCAATTTTCCCTTTAAAAAAAACCTGAAAATTGCCCTTAAAATTTCAATGATGGAGTTGGTCTGATCTCCATAGGCAATTTCTTCTAGGGCTCAACTAATTTCCCTAATTACAAGGTGGAAGCCAAGAAACACTGGGTGGCCTTGAGTCACTAAACTGCAAGAAATCCCAGGCATCTGAGAAGATTGCATATTAAAAAGACACAATAGAACAGGTGGGATCTTTTCTGTTAACGGCAGGAAAGTGGGCAAAGAGCTGCTGGATTCTTCTTCAGAGAGGAAGGCTGTACCTTCAACAGTGGGGCATGTTATGGGGAGAAGACAAAGTCCCCACCTAACAGTGGGAATGTTGTCCTGGGATGCTTGGCCTGGGAATTTGACATCACAGGCATAAATCCATTCATCCCAGCCAAATATATTATATATCAAATTAGATATTACCCAGAAACACTAATAACTCAGGTGTAAACCAATAGTATCTACATATATACCGTTGTTATTATTAAGTTTAGTTCTTTATATATTTTATGTGAGTCTTCCAAACACAAATATAGTTTTATATTTCTTTACTTGTCAGCTTGGCAAACCTTACAGAAGACATTTCTTCTAAGAGAACAAATTAAAGCAAGTCTAAAACAAGCCAGTTACTGCTCAACAGCCTGAGTGCCTGCCAGCAAGAAACAAATTGATGAATATTTAGCTGTGTCAGTAACAGAAAATTGCAGATTGTCAGATTTTTTTTTTCCCCTGGTGATGTCAACTTTACAATAGTAAAACCAAAGGTAGAGCTGGCAAGGCTGAAGTTATCAGCATTGCAGGGTGCTTTCAGGGCAGAGCATAGGAACAGGGATGATTGCATCTCCTAAGGCAGAGGAAAGGCTGAGAAAAATCCACAGACAAAGCAATATATCCAACTTGCTCTCCTCCTCATCCCACAGGTGAACACATGCCTAGCATGACAGCACCAAATGCAGGGACCCAGTGGTGTAATGTCCATAGTTCTGGAGTCTTCCATTCAAGTGCTCTTCTGATGTAGATCACAAATGAGTAGTTTTCCAGGCAGAAGAACAATTGTTTCACCTCTGTAATCCCTAGAGAATGGCCTGCTCCTTGACATGAGCACTAGAAGGACCTTCTAATATGTAAGACTTTTCGCTGTTATTTCCAAAAAGCCTTATGAGGTAGAAATATGGGTTTGAAATACAGTGCTAGGATATGGAGAGCTTTAAATTCAAAACTATGGGTTAGGTCACTAGCTAGAAGTTAATGAAAAAATGAAGTATTTTGAAGGTAGCTATGTGGTCTGTGCAGGGAGGGAAAGAGCAATGCCCAAGCTGAGCTTCAGTACTTCCCTGTTGGTATATGTGCTAGTTGGTAGCATCCACCTTTTTATCTAATCAAGGAGGTGTGTGTATGTGTGTCATAGAAAATAAAAATTGATTGCTCCCTTCTTTGGCCACAAGCACTGTGGCATGGTGTGCAAAGGCTGAGCTCAGCCTTTGGTTCCTCTTCTTGGGAATACTGGAGTAGGGTGTCGCTGTCCCTAAGAGACTGCTTGTCTCATGAACATCCTTATTTGAACAAGGATAAAATGCAGCAAACATCACTTGCCACCATTAATAAAGGCTCCCAGTGTCTTAAAATAGCAAGAAGACCTTTTTTAATCCAGAAAGTGCTATATTCAGCTGGAGATAATTTGATGGTAAATTACACTCTGACAAAGAAGAGTTAATCACTGACCTCAAAATTAGCTGTTGCCTAGGTACCCCTGTTCAGGCTGTGTTGACATTTATGTTGTGCAAACAGAATGCAATACCAGGCACTCAGATGTATATTTAGGGCTTTAAAAGTGGTCAGTTTTCCAAAGTGTAATGTGGTGCCTGTGACTGTGAGTTTAACAGTGGAAATGTTGATGCCAACTGGATATCATTCAGATCATTCTATGTGATCTCCTGCAGATGTGGTTCTCAAAACGTTGTAAAAAACTCAAAAAAACCAACTAAACCAAAAACCCAAAACCAAGGAAGACCCTCCACAGCATGCTTTATTGAGGAGAAGCCATCCTGGTTAAAAAAAGATGTGAAGATGGCTTAAGCAGCTAAGATTCATAAAGTGGAAGACTAAGTAATGTCATTAGCATGGCTTCTCAGAAGACACACCAGTCTAAATAATTTTTCTTTCCCTCTGTTATGGGGTCAGACACCTCTCTGAGATGGGAGCAACACCTCTATGCAGAAAAATACACTTGGATTTCTCCAAATGGTGTGATTTGGTACTGCATGACACTAGGCATTTTTGTGACGTGGCTTTAACAAGATGTACAGGGTCAAAAACTGACTGGTTGTCAGACTGCAGCAAGTGGCTGTAGGGGGAAATCAAAGCTTGTGCCTTCACTGATGTCTCATAACCACTATTACTGTTGTTGTTGTTGTTGCTATTTTCTAATAACCTGGCAGGCAGTGGTGGTGGTCAAAGCAGAGGACTCCCCACCACCAGGCCTTTTGTATCATGACACCTTCAAAATTGTGCCCATTGGTTGTGTGCCCCTTTGCCATCCAGTGAGGGGACTCTGTGAAAGCACAGACAGCTCAGGAGCAAACCCTGCCTGGCATGGGAGAGCATGATTTTGGGATCCTTAGCTGCCCTGCAAGCCTTTGTTCCTCGGGTGGGTCTGGGGGCCTGGGATTTTTGGGCCAAGGGATCACTGGGAGGTGTTGAAGGAGCACTGTCTGCTCCTGCCACCCTGCCAGCTCACTGCTCATCTCCTTGGGAACCAGCCCCAGGCACACACTGATGTGCCAGGTGGGGCTTGCAAATATTAGGTGTGAAGATTGGTTCATTTGCAAGCTGGGAAGATCGACAATTCCTGATTTGCACTTCCCAGCCTCAGGATCTCCAGCCGAATTTTTTTGTGGCCTGCTTTGAAAAAACAAAAAAACAAAAAAACCCACCCAAAGTTTTAGAGGATAAATCCAAAGGTCTGCTCTGATATTGGCTGTAGCACCTACTTCTGCTGCACACTCTTTAGTCAATAGTGTGTGTTCCCATAGCAACAGGAGGAATTAATTTAATGGCATTATTAGGCCTTATTTACATGCATGCACACACACACCTGCACGCCGTGCACACAGAGAGAGAGAGTCTTACTCTTCAGGAAGATCCCCATGAGAAGTCAGTCTAGTACATGAGGTTCACAGAGACTGCAAGATCCTGATTTTTCACTTTACAGGCACAAACCCAAAAGCTGACTGACCAGCCAAAAACAATTCAGCAGCACAGCCCCACAACAATGGGGCCCAACCTCATACCAGTGATACAGCTGGGAGGGGGGATACCACCAGAGGAGGATGGAAGACCTCTGCTCTTGTTGTCCACCCCTCAGTGCCAGGCAGGGGGTCCCAGAAGGGAAGCAGAGCCCCTCTCCCTGAGTGCTCCCTACAGAGGATTGGATTTGTGGCAACATTTCTGTCCCATCCACGTTTCCTCTGCACTGTGGGAGGACGCTGAACACTGAACTTCACTGTGTTTTGCCTGCTTCATCCCACACCTGGGGGCTTTTGGACAACCTCTGTATCATCAAACATGAGTCAGTGATTTCCGTAAGCCCTGAAGCTTTTCTTGTTTATTGACCTTCTGCTATTTGCAGTTACACATTAGCCAAATAAACTTCAGAGAGAGCGTCGCTTCTCTTTGCATTTCAAAACACTGGCACTTTACATTAAGGTATCTCACAAAAATCTATTAATTGAGGGAAAGGACAACACGTTTTTGCTCAGATACCA